GCTCAGCACAGGCATGTGCTGCATATCTGAAGGTGTTGCACATATCATTTGTTCAGCTTCCACCAAGAGTCGTCTCTGGTCCTTGACCCACTGCAGAAAACCCTGGTGTTCACAAGTACAAGCAAATTCATTCTGAGTGAGATTTAAGAGAGTTAATTTACTAGGAAAATGCTGCAATTCCTGCCCTTTTGAAGCCACTATGCGGTTAAAACTGCAATCCAGAACCTGGAGGGATTGGAGATGTTTATAAGGAGCTGTATCCAAAACCAAGAGGTGGTTGTGACTCATATTTAGTGACTGAAGATGGAGGAGTGAGTCAAATGCCATTGGAGACACCCCTTCCAGTTGACAATGGGTGAGGTCCAGAAAGGTCAAGTCAGTCAGATTTGTGAAAATGTTGGGAAGAAGGTTGTTGAGGAAAGAATTCCCAGCCATTTTCAAGACACGGAGACTGAACAATCCATCAAAGATGCCAAGGAAGACAACTCGAATGTGAGTGTAAGAAATGTCAAGGTAAAGGAGGTTTTTGAGTGATAAGAATACTGGAAAATCATTAACATGTTTCAAAGTGGAATGCTGAAAATCCAGATATTCCAGTCTTTCTAGGCCCATAAAGTTTGAACTCATAATAATGACACCATTGAAGCTCATATCTAAATATTTCAGTTTGCTTGTCCCCAAATCAGTGTGATCACAGCAACTCTTGAAGCTCAAGCCATTTCCACTGAGATCTAGATATTCAAGGCTTGGTAGAACAACTTCAGTGAAAGTGTCCCCACCTTTGTTAGCAGTGAAAACAAACCTTTTGAGAGAAGAGATCGCCAATGAAGGGAAGTGTTTATAATTACAGTGAATTAATTCTAAAGATTGCCATCTGACCTGCCTAGGAAGGCCTTCTAGATTATTTAAATACAGACTCACCAGAGAAATTGCAGAAACATTTGCTAAACAATTAAATAAGTCAATAGTATTATCTGGGGAGTCATCTAAGAATGCTAAATGGAATTCTCCAATGGTCAAATTGCACAGTCCCTCCAAGGAAGATTTGTTAAAATTTTCTATGTTTCTTTCATTTCTAAATTCTCCCAGAACTAACTGATGGACTTCTAAACCAGCCAGACCTTGAATGCAAGTCTTCATTATATTTGTGCTATTAAAATTATTTCTCAAAGTCAGCCCATAGAGTCTAATTCCATTAAAGGCACTAGGTTGTATAAAGTCTATAGGGTTCAAGGAAATTTCTAAAGAGAGGTTGAGCAGGGGCATTTGATGTAGAACCTGCACATCTTCATGAAAAATATTTCTGATCTTGTTATTAGAAAGGTCCAAGTACTCCAGGTTGGGCAGGTTAGAAAAATATCCAGGTATCTTGAATGAATGGATAAGATTATGAGCCACATTAAGCTCCTTCAAAGTCTTGAGATGTCCAATAGGAAAGTTCTCTAGAGAATCTAGGTTTGTTTCCACAGCCACCAGCTTCTGTAAATTTGATAGTCCAGAAAAGGCTCCCAGGCCTAAATGCTGAATAGGGTTTCCCGTCAATATCAAGGTAGAGAGGTGGTTTAGACCCCAATATGCATCATCTTCTATTGCCTGAATGTCACACCTACAGGGAAAATAAATTCAGATATATAATATTTATAATGGCTAAAAACCCCAAAATGAATAACAAATCCTAGTCACTCAGCTCTTCATAAAGTTGTGTGATGTCAGGTGATTGTCCAACAGCAGACACATCAGGCAAAACAGGCTGATAACACTGGTATGAGAAAATAAGAAGCCCAAAATATTCAGTACTGTCATACTGACCTATGATCTAAGTCTTTATTTATCAAGAATTTCTACCATGGCCACATGATTGACTGTTTTTCTTATCAATCTAGATGCACATATCTGGCAGAGGCAGCAATCTATCAGAATAAAATCAGTTAAAGATCAATAATCTCTATGATCTTTCCCACATGAAGATTATATGGCTGATAGAGTACATAATAGTCTTGGATCAAGTTTAATATTTCCTGCCACAAGTCATTGTAATCCTATATCTGATTGGTACCACTGATATGGGTAGCTCTTAGCTGTTAGTCACGATCAATGACTGATGAACGTCAATTTCACAGACACAAAAAGTTACACATAAGTATAATGGGTATCTTAATGTTATTAAAGGTTTTAGAAATATGATAGATATGTGAAAGTTGTCATTATCATGAGTAAATATTAATAACAGCTGATAAGAGTGAGTTTTTTGGAATAAAAAGAAAGGGTACTGTGAGAATTTTCATAAAGGGAGCTAACCTAGACTGGGAGGATCAAAGTAGGCTTCTCTAAAAATGCTTAAGTCAAAAATTGGCAGGTAGGAGTTAATGAGAAAAGAAGGTGAAGCGAACAGCAGACACAAAAGTCCAAAGGTAAGCATTGGTCAGGTTACATGGAATAAGCATGAGAAACAGTTTCCATGGTTGGAGTAGAGAGAGGAATTAAAGGGGTGAAAGATAAAATTGTGGAGAAAGAAGGTTCCAAAGAATGCAGAGACTTACAGGTCAAGTGAAGGTTTTTAATTTTATCCCTAATGAAACAGCGGTCATTCTATTTTATTTGTTTTAGAGATTTTTATCTTAGAGTATGTGCACTCACCAGAGAGAGAGACAGAGACAGTGAGAGGGAAAGTGAGAAATTACCTCCCCAGGAGAGATAGCCATGCCCCAGTCCCTTCTCCTCCATTCTCCTCCCAGGCTGTTGGGCACACAGGCCCACACATTCAGCATGATTTTGAAGCCACCAGGTCTGGGACTTGAACCATGGTCAGCCACGTAAGAGTCCAGTGGTATAACTGCTACACTGTCTGTTGGTCCCAACAGAGGTCATTCTGTATACAATGTTCATTGAGCTTTCTTAGAGACATAGTTTTGTTTTCTTTTGTTTTGTTTTGAGAGATTTTTGTTGTAGAGTACATGCACTTACTGGGAGACAGAAAAGACAGAGAGACAGAAAGCGAGAAATCACCCTCCTTCCCCCCAGAAGTATGGCCATGCCCCAATCCCTTCTCCTCCATTCTCCTCATGGAATTTTGGGAACACATGCACAGATGCCTGCTGTGAGTTTTAAACCATTGGGTCTGGGACTCGAATCGTGATCGACTACATAGGAGTCCAGTGACGTAACCATAACACCAACTGTCAGTCCCAGACACAGAGCTTTTAAGCGGCCAATAAACTGTAAGCTTATGCTAAATTTCTATGAACATTACTGTTACATGTTGGTCATAATATACAAAGGCGTCATTTCCATAATCCAACCTGATTTATAATTAGAGTGCTCCCCATTTATCCTACTGCCTTCAGGAGGTTTGCAAATAATAAAGGCACTTTGATCTAAGTTATTTTTATTCCTTAGTATCTGGATAAGAGTTAGTGGGTATAGGGGAAAAACACTGGAAAAGAGCACAGGACCGGTGGTTTTAGGGCCTCTGCTGTCCTCTCTCACTGCGTGATCTTGGAAATCCCTTTTTCTCTCTGGGTTTTATTTATCATATTTTTAAATAAGGCATCAAGTTTGATTATTTCTCAAGATCCTTCTTTTAGTTATATACTTTTATAACTCACAGTCTCTTGTATATAGAGTTCTATAGCACAACTAGAAGGGTCTTGCTGTAACTATCTCATTATAAGGGCCTCATTACTTGGGAGAAGTAGAATATTAAGAAGAAAATATTTAACTTGGTAGCAGAAGATAGAAATCTGAATGTCTGTTCTGTTGACAACAAGCTATGTGAAAGTAGCTAAGTGAAACTTGTGTAAGTTCAATTCTTCAAAATTTAGATTCTTCATCTCTTAAAAAAGAAAAAAAATTATAATAAATGAAGGAAAAAGGCTGTCTGGTCTGTCACAAAGCATTCTAAGAGGACTAGTAATGTATGTAAACATATAACATGAAAAGGCAAAAAATGTCTATTATGCTACAGTTTACACTTACCCTGATTCAAAATCTCCTATGACCTAATGGAAGAAGCAGGTCTCCTTCTAAGCACATATGTAAGGCCTTTCAGAAATGTTTCTCAGGTAGATGGTAGATAAAAGACTTTGTTCAGTGAGAAAATTTTGTTTACAAAAGGGTAGGGCAGAGTTGATGTGTCTACATCAGTACAGTTCTTGACAAAATTTTCACTTAGAGGGGCCAGCAGTTGGTGTAATGGCTATATCACTGGACTCACATGTAGTCAACGCCTGCTCGAATCCTGGACCCAGTGACTTAAACTCACGTCAGGTGTGTGTGCATGTGTACTCAAGATCCCAGGAAGAGAATGGAGGAGAAGGGATTGCGGCATGGCCATCCCCCCTGCGGGGTGACTTCTCGCTTTCTGTCTCTCTGTCTCTCTCTGTCTTTCTGGTGAGCGCATGCACCCTATAGCAAAAAACTCTCAAAAAAATTGTTTTTTCACTTAGAAAATCAGAATTTATAACTTAATAAAATGCTATAATAATATTTTATACGTATAATACACACCTTATAAAGTTTTAAATATATATATAACATGTAGATATTCATCCCATATAATCTGTGTGGTAAATTTTATCATTTCTATTTAGCAGACATGAAGGATATGAAGACTGAGACTCAGGGAGATTAAAGGACATGAATCAGGCCACTCAGTGACCTTGAATAGGACATGGCTCAGGTATTCTGACCTCTGTCTTCCACAGGGCTCTGTGCTCTATGCCACTGCCTCTAAATTGTTCCATTCCCCCTTCTTATACTCTATCAATACTCAAGTTAGAGTATAAAACATTAGTTGCTCACTCTCCTATAGAAATGTCTGTTCTAAAGGGGATTTTTATTTTATAATCTAAATCTATAGCAAGAATTTCTGTAATAAAAATAGACATGAGGACCAGTGGGTGGCATGGTGTTTAAGGTGCTAGACTCCCAAGTGACTGACCCCAGTTCGAGTCCCAGACCTGGCAGTTTGCTTTCTCACTTTCCCTCTCTCTTCCTCTTTCTGTCTCTCTAGTGAAAAAAGATGCCCTATAGAAATTTTTTTTAAATAAATTAAAACAAACAAATAATTTTTTAAAGCAGGCATGAAATATTCTGCCTTTCCCACAAACTATTGGGAATATGGTCCATTATCCAGTTCAACAAGAACATTGGTGATGAACACCCTTTTAGGATAACTGAACTTCCCAGTGAAAGATATACTTCCCTACATCGGAAAAGGAAATTTAGGGCCAGCTGGTTGCATAGTAGTTGAGGCGGCTGGATATCACATGGTCAACCACATGACTGGAGTCCCAGACCTGGCAGCTTGAAAAACTCACCAGGCACTTGTGCATACATGCCCAAAATCCTGAGAGGAGAATAGAGAAGGTGTTACAGGATAACCATATTCCCTAAGGATGCTTTTTAACTTTCCTTCTCTGTCTCTCATTTCTATTAGAAATTTGCTATAGGGTATATAGGATTGGTTCTTGCTCTTGTACCAGAGCCATCAGTTCTGGGACCTCAACCATATGGTTGGCCATGTGAGATCAAAGTTGTGTAAAGGATACGGAATTAAGAACAGAAAATTTGTCCCAAGGAGAAAGATATTAATAATAAAGAAAACTGTTTTCTGTGGACAGGAAACAAGTGCCCTATAGCAAATTTCAAAAAAAAAAAAAAAAAAAAAAAAGGGGCAAAAAATGTCTATTATGCTACAGTTTACACTTACCCTGATTCAAAATCTCCTATGACCTAATGGAAGAAGCAGGTCTCCTTCTAAGCACATATGTAAGGCCTTTCAGAAATGTTTCTCAGGTAGATGGTAGATAAAAGACTTTGTTCAGTGAGAAAATTTTGTTTACAAAAGGGTAGGGCAGAGTTGATGTGTCTACATCAGTACAGTTCTTGACAAAATTTTCACTTAGAGGGGCCAGCAGTTGGTGTAATGGCTATATCACTGGACTCACATGTAGTCAACGCCTGCTCGAATCCTGGACCCAGTGACTTAAACTCACGTCAGGTGTGTGTGCATGTGTACTCAAGATCCCAGGAAGAGAATGGAGGAGAAGGGATTGCGGCATGGCCATCCCCCCTGCGGGGTGACTTCTCGCTTTCTGTCTCTCTGTCTCTCTCTGTCTTTCTGGTGAGCGCATGCACCCTATAGCAAAAAACTCTCAAAAAAATTGTTTTTTCACTTAGAAAATCAGAATTTATAACTTAATAAAATGCTATAATAATATTTTATACGTATAATACACACCTTATAAAGTTTTAAATATATATATATAACATGTAGATATTCATCCCATATAATCTGTGTGGTAAATTTTATCATTTCTATTTAGCAGACATGAAGGATATGAAGACTGAGACTCAGGGAGATTAAAGGACATGAATCAGGCCACTCAGTGACCTTGAATAGGACATGGCTCAGGTATTCTGACCTCTGTCTTCCACAGGGCTCTGTGCTCTATGCCACTGCCTCTAAATTGTTCCATTCCCCCTTCTTATACTCTATCAATACTCAAGTTAGAGTATAAAACATTAGTTGCTCACTCTCCTATAGAAATGTCTGTTCTAAAGGGGATTTTTATTTTATAATCTAAATCTATAGCAAGAATTTCTGTAATAAAAATAGACATGAGGACCAGTGGGTGGCATGGTGTTTAAGGTGCTAGACTCCCAAGTGACTGACCCCAGTTCGAGTCCCAGACCTGGCAGTTTGCTTTCTCACTTTCCCTCTCTCTTCCTCTTTCTGTCTCTCTAGTGAAAAAAGATGCCCTATAGAAATTTTTTTTAAATAAATTAAAACAAACAAATAATTTTTTAAAGCAGGCATGAAATATTCTGCCTTTCCCACAAACTATTGGGAATATGGTCCATTATCCAGTTCAACAAGAACATTGGTGATGAACACCCTTTTAGGATAACTGAACTTCCCAGTGAAAGATATACTTCCCTACATCGGAAAAGGAAATTTAGGGCCAGCTGGTTGCATAGTAGTTGAGGCGGCTGGATATCACATGGTCAACCACATGACTGGAGTCCCAGACCTGGCAGCTTGAAAAACTCACCAGGCACTTGTGCATACATGCCCAAAATCCTGAGAGGAGAATAGAGAAGGTGTTACAGGATAACCATATTCCCTAAGGATGCTTTTTAACTTTCCTTCTCTGTCTCTCATTTCTATTAGAAATTTGCTATAGGGTATATAGGATTGGTTCTTGCTCTTGTACCAGAGCCATCAGTTCTGGGACCTCAACCATATGGTTGGCCATGTGAGATCAAAGTTGTGTAAAGGATACGGAATTAAGAACAGAAAATTTGTCCCAAGGAGAAAGATATTAATAATAAAGAAAACTGTTTTCTGTGGACAGGAAACAAGTGCCCTATAGCAAATTTCAAAAAAAAAAAAAACAAAAGGAAAGAAAAAAATCTGGTTGCCAGTTGGACAGTGGCACACTGTAAAACAGGATGTTCTGTGAGGGTGACCCACATAGAGGTTCCAGAGTCTCATATGGAGACCTCTCTGAGTCTGCTGGGCAGGTAGCTAACATGATCCAGAGCTAGCTGAGTGTGGGGGTGGGTCATAGAATCAAGACCTTATAGGGAGGTGCTAGCTCTCTCTTTCTCTCTGTCTCTCCCCTCTCACTTCTTTATAATTAATATATTTCTCCATAGGGTTATTTGTCTTTTCTTAATTCCTTATTCTCTATACAACCTTCAAAATTCCAGGTTATTTGAATCTCACTAAATTCATGAAATCTCAGATTATTGACCACAGAAAAGGCTCTTCTTTTGAACAATATAATTTGTTACTTCCAGTCTACACATAGTTTACTATTTACCATTACATATCCCCATCCTTATCTCAGCTTCAAATTCCAAAAGATTAGAACTAGAAAGCATTTGTTGAATATCTGCCATGTTCCCAAGACAGTGCCCAGGAATTAACATATTAACTCTTAGAGAGTATATACCCTGCTTAATACTAGGAGCTGTATGTAATACATCAATATACTCTTGTTTTTAAAGAAATTTCAAAGGTAACATTTTCCCTAGAAACAGTATCATTCAACTGTTCATTTCCCAGATGAAGAAATTGAGACATGGAAAAGGAAGTGGTTTGCCCAAGATTATCTAGCAAAGAAGACATCTACTGAATAAACAAATAAGTGCATAAAGAAGAGACTTCAACACACAGGCTTTCTGGTCCAATAATAAAATGAAAGAACAATGAACATCTCACCTTATACAGTACGTAAAAGCTCATTCATTACCTGGATAAATCCAGCACTTGGAGTTCTGGGAACTTGGAGAAGTTACGGTTGCCTAGATATCTCAGGGGATTAAAGCTAAGGTCCAGGTTCTCGGTTGAGGATGGGATGTTGTCAGGTATTTTGTAGAGATTCACCTCCATGCATTGGTAAGTAATGTTAGGAACCACCTGCAATGATCAAACACTAAATGCAGCACCTCTCTGCAATGCACTCTGAATTCACCTCTACTGGACCTCTCCTGTCTCTTTCTCTCACACATGTGAAAATAAATAAATAAACTTAAAAGAAAATGAAATCTTCATCACTTGTTTCCTGCCCACTGAAGACATTTTTCTGTATTATTAATATCCTTCTCCATGGGATAAATTTTCTGTCCTTAATTCCGTATCCTTTACACAACTTTGGATCTCACATGGCCAACCACATGGTTGGGGTCCCGGAACCGACGGCTCTGGTACAAGAGCAGGAACCAATCCGACTTTTTCCTCTTCATCCATCCATCTACACATTCATTTATACATTCATTCATTCTTCATTTACCCAGTCCTTTAATAATTATACAATGTCTGACTCTGGATTAGGAGGAAAAGAGCACCTACCATGTATCAAATATTTAACCTCTATGATAACAATAGGCACATTTAGCAAGAAGCCATGGAATTAGATGGGGAAGGGCTGAGACTCTGGAGTCCAAAAGTTCTGGGTTTCAGACCAACTGTTCCATGTGATTTGGAGAAAAGTTTTTCTTTGTTGTTTTGTTTTGTTTTTCTAAAGCATCAGCTAACTTCTTTTCATCCTATGTGAAATACAAGTAATCAAAAGCCAATACTATTCTAAATATGCTCCCACTCCACACACACTCACACATTTTGTACCACCTTAAGAAGACTAGCAGTTGAGAGGTCAAGCCTTTCCTAAACATAGCCTAATTTCTGACAATTGTATTCTCCTCCTTGCATTGACCTTTGAACAAAGTGAGGTAGATGTGGGAAAAAATCTTCGGAGCACAAGGATTTCAGTGATGGAACCTGGTACATAAGGTCAAGTGCTTTGTGCTGTCTTGGTTTCTGTGCTAGTTTTTATCCTGCTTTCTAAATTTGTTGTAAGCTTTATTCTCTAACCTCTCATCTAATTCTTGAATTCTCTTATTTCCTTTAACAAAATTTCTTGCTTAAGCCAGCTAATTTTGGTTTCCTATTGTTTAAAACCAAGAGAATCTGTTTAAAGGATTAAATGAGATAAGGTATTTAAAGAGCTTATCTCAAAAGCTACTACAGTGTAAATGATCAATAAATGTTAACATTAATTATTATTAGCTATTATTAATCCCTTACCATATGCCAGCACATTCCTTCAATGTTATATACTTTAATTTAATCTTTAAATAAACCTTTTAAAGATGAAAAAACTAGAAATTCAGAGAGATACAATATGCATAAAGTCTCTGAGACACATATGCAGGCTCTCACTTCATTCACATGTCTGCTCAAACGTTGCTTGTCTCAGATTCTCAAAGACCACACTGTTTAATGGAGCATGGTAATGATCTCTCTTTCCTTTGCAGGGTATATCACCCTTCAATATTGCATCCAAAGTATGTGTGATGAGTCCATCTGTGTTGTTCAAGTCCTGCACTAGGTCATAAGCTTTAGTGGTTTTGCTTGCTGCTTTGTCTCTGTCACTCAGAAGACTGCCTCACCAGTTGTCAAAAATATTTGTTAAATAAATGCATGAATAATTGATTGACTTAATGAAATTTTTCTTAAGTCCCAACCGTAGGCATTTTCTACTAAACACTCTGGGCAACACAAAGGCAAACATGATATGACTTCTTCCTTCAGCAAATCCACAGTCTAG